AGTGTGCGGTCGCTGGATTGGGACACAGCTTTTGTTTCTCTAAAAGGACACGCAGCACCGCAGACTGTGGTGTGAAACACGCTTAATCTCTTACATGTGCTCACTGATCACATTTTGTCTATTTCATTCAACAAAACAGGAGCAGGTGAAGCTCGCTGAGTAATATTGGGGAATCTCAAAGCAGCTCGAACCAGCCGAAGTTTTCATTCAGAGTACACTGATGAGATCATTTACTTCCAGACAAGACAAAGCAGCATTGCTCAGCTTATTAACTGTTCAAACTGTTAACTGTTATTAACATCGAAATAAAATAATTTTATTATTAATAAAATAATAATAAGATGAACATGACGGAAGAAAGAAAGATGGGTTCCCACTTCCCCGTATTCACCAAAACGAACAACCTCACAAAGTGCTTTCAGTTTGTTATAACTTCATGTACACGTTGGAGTATACAGCCGATTACATTAATTCTATAACATTTTAGCAAAAAATAAATATTTTTCATAAGCAGTGCAGCGTTGTTTGTGTGTTTATCAAATCAAATAAACATAACATTAACAATATTTGATGGTTTGATGGATTTTCATTGCTAGACAGAAGCAACATTCCTGGATTAAGTGAAAACTTAAACCATATGTATGCGGTATATTTTTGGACAGATGCTGACAAACTGAGTTGTAAAAATCTGCAAATTTTGCCAAAAACAGAACTTCAATTTCAAAAATGACTGAAGTGAAACTTTCATGTTAATCATTCCTGTTACTTTTCATTTAAAGTAACTACATGTGAAAATATTCAACAATTTTTTTTAATCCTTTTTTATTACTAACCTTTAATGTTATTTAATAATTTACATATTTAAAAAAAACTTTAAAAATGTAGAAAAAATTTGCACAAAGAGCTGACATAAAAATTGCGGCACAAACACCAACAAATACTTTCTAAATGCTTCAGTGGAACAGGTTTTTGTGTTTTGTGTTTGTCAGACTACCATTTTTTTCCCCAGAAATGGTACACTTCATTAAATGGTCAAGATCAGATCTTCATGCTGATAAAGACGTGAGCCCCGGCTCGTCGTTTGACTGGTCTCTATCACAATGCTTGTGTTTTCTGAGCAGATTGTCACCTCGTCTAACTAAAATGAGAAGATAAAGAGTGACTTACATCATTGATCTCATTTGTCTTGAGCTTGCTATGTGACAAAAAACAACTAAAATTACAGACACATTTAGCAGCTGAATTAAAAGAAAAAACAGCAACAGTATGTAAGAAAGAGTACCTGCTCTAAGATTTCTTTTTAAGCCAGACAGCGATGAGTGCAGTAACACAGGCCAACAACAATGCAAAGGATATAATGACTAAAATCCTTCCTTTGAGAAAAACAGAGAAAAAATGGGCATAAACATTGAAATATCTACTAAATAACAATAGACTAAACAGAAAAAGTGGGTGTAAAAAATTGACATGTTAACATACCAAAATTTCTGTGATTAGATCCAAATTTCTCAATCAGACCTGATAAAAGGAACCTCAACATTAAAATTGTGAAACAATCACCAATTTATAAATCAATGACATTGAAGAAGTTTCTAACCATCATCATGA